GCGTGTGCAGTGTCAGGATCGCATCAGTGGCCTTTTGAGCCTCGTGAGGATCATGCTACCTCTCTTCCACCATTTTCAGGAAGCCCTCCAATTTCTGAGAGGCTGCCCAAGAGCGGAAGTCATGACCATACCCTTGGAGTTGCACTAACCCACTCAACCATCTTGCTGCACTACCCTCTAGGTAGGAAGCAGCCACAAGCACTTCTTCGTGTGGCAAGGTGAGTTTACACCTGACGTAGACCGGCACTGCCCTCAACTAAGTGTCGAGGTCTTCGCCTCTCTTGTCCCCTGTAAAAGATTTGGGAGCGGCGATGGCCGTCTTTGGAACCCACTGATTTTGTCCCGGTCCCTGCACCACCCCGGGCTGTGGACCCGGTGATACAGGTTGTTGTGCTAGCTGCTGGGACTGTGTGCCTTGCGGCTGCACAGGTTGCGAGACAGCAGGCTGCGTGGTGACCGCAACCTGCAACGAGCTCTGAGTGAACACTGTCTGAACAGGAACCTGTAAACGACTCCCTGCTGTTACCCCTCCTGACAGAGGCATGCCCAGGGAAACGATAGCAACCGATGAAGGGGCTACATATGGGGATACCCCAGTCACCGGTGGAACAGAAAGAGGAGGGTATGGCACGGRCCAGGCACCAGGCCCTGCTGKTGATGGTGCTGCCTGAGCACGSCCTGCCAACACGGCTAGGCTTTGTTGAATGTCCTGAAGGATGGTAGTTTGATGCTCCTGCATCTCAATTACGCCTAGCAGGGCCCTCCTAACTACCTTCACATCATCATCCATATGCGTCAGGTCCATCGTCTCTAACTCCTCTATGTCTGCCCCTCTCTGTTGCATCCTGGTTCTTCTTCTAATCATCATCTCTTTTTCCCTTTTTATCTGTCCTAATGCCCGCTGTAGCTGTGCCTCCTGCAAGGCTGCCTGCTGGATGGCGACATCCTCTGGGGTCAACACCGCGGGCTGGCTTAACACTAAGCCAGTGGACTGACTCACGGTCTGTGCGATTGTGGACCCGACGGTACCTGAACTACCGGCTGGAGAAGTCTGCTGTGCATACGTGCTCATGGTTGTTGTAGCCATGGCTGCTATAGCACCGGCCTCGCTAGCTAATGCCCTGCTGGCCTCGGCTGCTCTAGCTCTCCTCTGCTGCTGCCTCTCCCGCTGCCGACAGAACAGTTCCCTATTACCCCCCGGTCCAAGGGACACGTGAGATATGGGGCCTCTAGCTGATCGCAAGATCCTGCGGTCGTCCTCTCCGGTGTCCTCACTGTCGCTCATAGGCTACAACTCTGTGCACCGCCTACACTAGATCATTCAATGATGCCTACCGCAGCATAGTGCACAGACCAACTATTTAGTGGTGGCTATTTTTGGAACAGATCTCATTTGGGGTCAACAGGTAAGTCAGATTCCTACTGTCAATACTATTTTTAGTAAGATTAGTTCTCAAATAGAGGAAGCATCAGGAATAAACAATATTCTAAACTAATGATGTCTGTCAAATGACACATGGCTGTCCATCTAACTAATCAAAACAACAATAATGTTGACTGACTGGGTCTGTTCATAGTATGGAATTTAGACCCGAACTTATCACCTGAAACCTACCCCTCCCTTCTGTTCTTCTCAATGTCACGGTGTCACGTCCCTAAGCATCTGAAGCCAAGCGTGTCTGAAGGTGTGCAATCCGGTCCCACCCTTGTGCCCTAGGTTATCGTCGAGCAAGGCAGCCACAGCACTCTTATTTATCCTCGTACGCCGACGAGCCTTCCACTCAGATGATCTGGCTGATCAGGAGGCAGTTTGGCGTCCGCCCCCAAGTGACTCCAGGAATTATTTTACGTCGCAGCCGGACGACGATCACAGCCAGATCAGAGTCGAGTCCCCAGCCAGAAATGTTTATAGACGGTCTGGTAAGCGTCTGTAGAGGCTGCCACACTCGAGTTAACCCCTATCATGCGCAAGCAGCAGAACCAATGACTTGCAGCGAAGCATGCGTGTACTACACCCAGTGGGTTGGCATGGTGACCGTGACCCAGTGCTTCGTCCAGAGCCCTTCAAGAAGCTCCGCCCGTCTTCCCCCAGATGCTCCACGTGAACAATCACGACTCTCAAGGTTGAGCGCACACGACACCTCACGATGAGAGGACTCTCAAGACAGAACTCACAACCTCACGGTAAGAAGTGATGGAGAGGGTAGATAAGGTTAAGAGCAACGTACCTCATTCAAGCTGCCCCCAACCATAGAGATAATCTCACCAGATGATCTGAAGATGATTGCGATGACCAGTCACACCATCGGCACAACCAGCATTGTCTCGCCGTTCCACCTCAGCCTCAATCACCCAACAGATAGTTCTCATCACACTTCGAACACCCAATATTTACACGTAGCCTTCCAGGCGATGCCTGGGTTGCCAATACTTGTCACTTCCCCTCCTCACTACACACCAATCACAGCCCACTCACGTAGCAGACCGCACGTATGTACCGCATAAGGAAAGCGACAAGCGCCAGATGAGGGCACCGTACCACAGCTCCGATACCAAATTGCAAGGAAGATGAGCATTAGCGAACTCCAGCAATCAAACAGCATCATACATATGTGTCCAGATAGTCTTGACCTCGAACCAACAGCAGTCATGCATCACGAGATTCACCAAATCAGAACACACCAATAGTTCATAATTGACAATGCTGAAAATAGTCTCTCATCATCATCAACGAAGAACAAGATTTGATATCCTATTGGCGCTCGGTGCCCAGACTACTTGTGGCAGATCCTATCTAGCCTAATACTACAATGCCGATGTTGACAACAACAGCTCCCTGAAGTACGAGCATACAGCGGACAATGCCGCACGCTTCCAGCACCAGGTATGTCTCTCGTAACACTCACAACCTCGATCCACACCGCACAGATGCCACTAGCACCCAAGGACCACCCTGTGTCACATCCAGCCTACAGCGGAGCAGCTCGGCTATGGATGCCCGCTACCTCCCTGCTCGCCCGTGAGAGCGTGAGTGCCAGCCAGCCAGCAATGAGCGCAGCAGCGCTTGCGCAGCATGCAGCCAGCACCCGAATATCGAATGAGGAGGCAGGCCCTTCCCTATATCGAAGTGGCCTGCCTGCGTCCAGTCCAGGAAGCTTCCGGTAGGACCCGGTAGGCACAGGCCCAGTCACGAAGAGAGCAGGCCTTGGGCCTGAAGTGGTTGCATGCGCCCAACTGCTTTCGGCCTGTGTTTGGCCCGGTACCCGTATCCAGCCCAGGGCCTGCTTCACATTCATTTACACAGGCGGCCCAGGGGCCCAGGGCCTGGTTTCATTCAACCAACCGGTGCAACGCAACTGCCTGAATTTTCCCCGATGCGGGGTACCCTGAAGAATGAGGCCCGAAGGGCCTGTTGTGCCTGCCTTCACTTAGGGCGGCCGACCTTGTTGCAGATAGGGCCCCGTAGGGGCTAAGCGGGCGTCGCACTTTCCCCATCTCTTCTTTTCTCTTATCTTTACATTTATAAATTATAATTTATTCGAGTTTATTTCTTTTCCTTCTCTCTTTTTTTTCCAAGTCCGATTAAAGACAGGGTCAACCTCTCCTTACAAGTACAATCTGTGCATCTTTTTTTTGTCTTTTTTTTATCTTTTTTTCTAGGCTACCAGAGTGGCCCGGGGTCACTTGCCCGGCCGGGCCAAAAATAATAAAAATAAAATAAATATTTTTTAATTTTATTTTTTATTCTAAATTTGGTGAAGAATTTCGATGCGACCCTGAGGCAAAAGTTGTTCAGTTTATTTAACATAGTTGTTTTTGGGATTTTTTGGATGTTTTTTTTTTTTTTTTTTTTTGCTGGGGCCTTCCCTGGTCCTAGCACGGGCTGGCCACCGGGGACCCGGGCGGCCTGGCTGGTAGCCTAGCTTTTTTTATCTTTTTTTATCTTTTTTTATCTTTATAAGTACGATCTGCTCAACCTCTTGTTTTGGAGAAGTACTCACATCATTTGAAAGCGAAAACAGGGAGAGACAAAAAAAAAAGGAAAAAAAAAAAGGAGAGACCCACCCATCAGATCCTACCCCTAGCGTTATAACCGAAAAAAAAAGAAAGATAAAAGATCCTAACCCTCCTAGCTGGTCAGAGATCAAAAGTATTAAAAACTGAAAAACGAAAAGGGATGTACCCATCGGATTTTTGCGCTGAAAGAAAGGAAGGAAAGCATTGGCCCATACTCATACTTATGAACACGATTTGGAACAACAAAAAAAAAGCAGTGTGCATCATTTCGGGTTTGCGAACTGAGGACGGACACGTCCCTCTACGGGGTTCGACCGGCTACGCTCCGACCTTTATAAGGAGGCTAATAATAACCCTCCGCCCAGCCTTGCGGCTTCAACCACGCACAACACCTCTGAGTGCATCCTGACCAGCAGCTCTCTGTAACCTGCAGCTCACTCTATTAACCCCTCTCTCTCTCTCTCTCTCTCTCTCTCTCTCTCTCTCTCTCTCTCTCTCTCTCT